TACCTAAGGGCGCGCTGGCGACGTAACCTCACTGACATGTAGATACCGACCTTGCCTACAGTCATTGCATTTGGCTCCGTCTGGCCTGCCATCAGTTTTGGCTTCCGCCGTCTGCAGTACGCAGACGCATACAATTTCTACTGTGACCTCGTTCAGCCAATGTTTATTAACCTCGGCCTGATCATGCTACGGTCCAATCAGCGAGCGGTTACGCTTGTACAGCATCTCCCTGCAACTGAAACATACAGTGCTCAGGACACTGATTGCATGCAGGTGGCTGGCCCAGTACTCAAATGCTTCCATGAGACCGAAAACATCCGCCAAAGCTGAGAACCAGGGGCTCTATGATCTTATTGTAGTGCGGAGCGTCTTGGTGCATGTCAAATGGTGAAGCTTAGAGGCAGTGCTCCTCATTTGCGTGGGGTTTTGAACTGGCACAGCTATCTAATAGAGCCTTTTTATTACGAGATGCTACCCCATTGCCTGAATTATGTTCTACGACTGTTCATTGCCTGAATTATGTTCACTGTGATAGTGTTACGAGTGCGGAGTATCTTGGTGCGTGCCAAATGGCGAAGCTTAGAGGCAGTGCTCCTCATTTACATGGGGTTTTGAACTGGCATGGCTATCTAATAGAGCCTTCAGTGCAGTTCACAACCCTGCCCTTCTTGAGACCCGAACCCTTCTAATTTCTGAGCTATGCGCCCGCAAAGATGTGCAGTCTATTTCAAAGAGCGTATTTCAAGGCCACCCAGGTACCCACAGGTGATTCAAATCCTGCCATTCCTTTCTCCATGCTGTTATTAAGGCCAATAAATAAGAAGTTGACGAGTCGTTCATATCCGGTGTTCGTGAGCACAATATCCAGATATAACGGCCGTCAATTGAGTCTTAATGTTGTGCAAGTAGCGATGACGCAATCAAACCATGACATACTGAGAAACACAGTTACTAAATAGCGAAATTGTGCTGTCTACAGCAGTCTTTTTCACTTGCAGGTATACTTAGAGTAATAAGTGAGCCTTTTCATCACATCTGACTCTCGCTTAGATATCCTTGGGTGCTGGACATTCCCTTTAGCGAGATGACGCCGCGGCTCCGCGGTTTTGTTGGCTCACAGAATGTCCGGCACTCTGTTCGTCACGGGAAGCGGTTCGTTAGATCAAGATTCACACGCCAGTTTTCATTTGTCACAGCTCACACCATTTTCTTTTAGATTTCTGCCCGCCCCAACTGTCGTAATGGCAAGGTGGGCCTTCTCGTGTCGGATTGTACCTTCGATTTCGTCCAGTGCATGATCGGCCTGTCTTAAGCTTGATATAGTGAGGAATGGGCGGTCCTCGCATGTTGTTAATACATTGCAATGTACGTGCTCGATCGTGACGTCCTCTTAAGTTTCATGTAGATGGTAGTCCATAAATACATCCGTCCTATGGCCCTTACCTTTCAGCCCGGCTCAATTTCTGGAGCCGCTCTTAAGGTGTATGGCAAGATCATCCACCCCAGTCACACAACGGCTAACTCGATGCGCGGCTCTTTGCGCTTTAAGGTTTGCCTCAGCCCACACAATGGTCCCACATGCTGCTCTGAACGGTGGACGGTGGCAACAGCTGCTATGAAATGCAGCGGACCCGCTGAGATAATGATAGATACAGCCGCTAAACGTTGGCCATTTACCGCAGTGCGTCGCACCGTCAGACAGATCGCTTTGTAAACACGAACGGGTGCACTTTCGCAGGCTCTGCACAACGGGTTTGTGTTTGCATGGCGTTTGTGGCGACGCCGTGATGTTTGACCGCATCATGCGCCCACCACTCAGCGTGCTTCCTCGTAGTCAGAAATTCAAACCAACGCAAACATAAGTTAACTCGTAAGGCTATGTATTGATGACATATCATATGACCTGTACATTGGAGTGTCCATTACGCCGATCGTCACGTTCTTGACGCGAAATATTTGCGCAGTGCTCTGGTGGGAGCCTGTGACCCTGGTCCCTTCCCCCGACTCAAACCTCTGACCTGCCTGACACATAGTCAACTGCAACAAGCTACCACCACGGATATGGTACACTCAGCATATAGCACATATCCTACTCAAAATGTCCTATTGAACGCAAGTAGCTTCGTTTTTGCTGAAACCACCTGCACCAGGCAACCAGCTGTTGCAGCTAATCCCCATCCAAACCGACCCACCACCGCATGTGACTGTCCACTGCCTCGCCAGTCCACCGTTTCACCGGCAGTGACCGGCGGCTCTTCCCACCGTCCAAACGAGCCAGGCACGTGCATGCACGAGCCGTCGGGCCCGTGGGAGGCACGAGGCTTCCGTGGGAGCGGCCGGCCGGCCCATGAGAGTGACCGAGCCCCGCCCGCCGCCGCGCCACCTAACGGCGCGCGGCAATACGTCGCCGCCACTAACTGCATCTGGGCTACTGGGATGCAGCGGCCAGCGGGACGGCGGCCGGGGTCAGCTGGGGCCGGCGACCGGTGCGCTGCGGCCGAGACAGCTGAGGCTCCGGCCGGGCCGGCTGAGGCCCCTGCCGGGCCAGCTGAGGCCCCGGCCGGGCCAGCTGAGGCCCATGCCGGGCCAGCTGAGGCTCCGGCCGGGCCAGCTGAGGCCCCGGCCGGGCCGGCTGGGCCAGCTGAGGCCCCGGCCGGGCCGGCTGAGGCCCCTGCCGGGCCAGCTGAGGCCCCGGCCGGGCCAGCCGAGGCCCCGGCCGGGCCGGCTGAGGCCCCTGCCGGGCCAGCTGAGGCTCCGGCCGGGCCAGCTGAGGCCCCGGCCGGGCCAGCTGAGGCCCCGGCCGAGACAGCTGAGGCCCCGGCCGAGACAGCTGAGGCCCCGGCCGAGACAGCTGAGGCCCCGGCCGGGACAAAGGAGCCTCCGGCCGAGCCAGTTAAGGCCCTGGCCTGACCAGCGGGTGCTCGCAGCCAGCTGAGAAGGCACACGCTGGCCATCTGGCGCGGCTCTGTTTACCTTCCGCAGGTCCTGTAATTCTCTTTCCCACGAACAGTAATCACGTCATGTCTCTTGCAGCCGGGTCCCCTCTCTCTCCTTCGTCTGAATGCGTCTCTATCCCTTCACATCGCTCCTTTCCCACAATATCTCTGACCTATCTCTCTCTCTGTCTCTCTCTCTCTCTCTCTTCTCTCCTCTCTCTTCTCTCTCTCTCTCTCTCTCTCTCTCTCTCTCTCCTCTCTATCTCTCTCTCTCTCTCTCTCTCTCCTCTCTCTCTCTCTCTCTCTCTCTCTCTCTCTCTCTCTCTCTCTCCTCTCTCTCTCTCTATCTCTCTCTTCTCTCCTCTCTCCTCTCTCTCCTCTCTCTCTCTCTCTCTCTCTCTCTCTCTCCTCTCTCTCTCCTCTCTCTCTCTCTCTCTCTCTCTCCCTCTCCTCTTCTCTCTCTCTCTCTCTCTCTCTCTCTCTCTCTCTCTCTTTCCTCTCTCTCTTCTTCACACGCACTCATTATGTCTGCCTCTATGGTGAAGGCCAAGACCGTTTCACGGGATACAGGTTCATCTGATGCAGAGAGACGCCACGAAAATGTGGTGTTTGCTTCAATAATAACGGTGTTTGCTAGTCCTTTTGCATGGTGTCTTCAAATAACATGTAGATAAATGATGCATGCCATACCATTCGATATTCGCCGTTTGCCCAGAAAACAATAGAGCCACATGTCCGCATTTCAACCCGATAAAGCCACGGAATGAACACCGCTAACTAGCTATGCAAAGCACCTGCTAATTGTCACATGACCGTCCTTTGCGATGCCCCGCGGGCATTACTCAGATTATGTCCTTAGATTCATGGCTTCATGGAAGAACTGATGTCTAGACCAAGCCGATCGCATATATCCGAGGAACGAGGAACTTACGGACCAGTCAAATCGGGACTTGAATCATATTACGGTTCTCTAAGTTAGCTAAGACATTGTCCACTCCACTGTAATAACATCCCGCCATTTGACGCATTATCACAGCTACCTGACGGGTCTATTACAGTTCGTCATTTCCAAACCAGCATGCAGCATGCCAACCAATATTGAGCCCGATCTGTCGTACATTCACCGTGATGAGCCTGATCTGTCGTTCGTTTACCGTGATGAGCCCGATCTGTCGTTCGTTTACCGTGATAAGCCTGATATGTCGTACATTCACCGTGATGAACCTATCAGAGATGCGTTTGCCAGTGTCAAAGCCATCTGCGCTATGTTCGTCGGTGTCGGACCTAGCTGCATTACGTTCGTCCGAGCCAGACCTGGCTGCAGTACGCTCGTCCGAGCCAGACCTGGCTGCAGTACGCTCGTCCGAGCCAGACCTGGCTACGGTACGTTCGTCCGTGTCGCACCCGTCTGCCGCGCGCTCACGCTGTCGGCGGGCGACGCTCAGAGTCTGTCCGTCGCCCCCAGGCCCCACAGCTGTGGACGCGAGACACTTCGTTCTGGCCGAGTGACTCCGACGCCGGCCGGTCGGCGCAGGCCACTAGCACCGGAGTCTCGCTCGGCGGGCCGGCGCGGGCGGAGACTGGACGGAGCACGTCGCCCGGGGCAGCCGGCCGAGCGGCGCGCGGCAGTCGGGGCACGGCAGCGACGAGTGGGGACGCCTGGGCGGGCGGCGCTGCTGCTGATGTGGGCGGGAAGTGGCGGCGACGGACAGCCGGTGGCAAGTGGACGTGAAGTGTCAGTGCTGAGGGCAAACCTCGGCCGAGTGGTGCCAGGTGTGTGCTGACTGTAAACGCTCAATCGAAATATCATCACCGCGCGGTAAACAACTGACTGCTAGACGCTGGACGACGTGACGAGAAACTCACTATCAGAGCGCCGTCAGCAGACCAGGAGGACGGTGGGCAGAGGTGCTGCACGGAGCCTGCAGTCAACCAACACTGCAAGGAACGGTGGCAAGCGACAGGGAGCAGCAGTGAAAGAGCGTGAGCTTCCTGTCCGCCTCACAAGCCCACGTACAGAACTCGCGCGGGAACCCCTCGCCTGCCTCCGGGTCACCGGCCCAGCCCGGCAACGGCGTCAGCATGGGCAACAGCACGAGCGCACCCGACTACGAGAACCGCGCCTACTTCCTGATGTGGCTGGCGCACAACTACTGGAGTGCCGTGGTGGATAGGTTCACGCCGGACGCGCGCTTTGCGGGCCGCATGAGTGGCCGCTTCGAGGACCGGCCGTGCCCGGGCTGCTGTGAGGAGAGCATTTGCATGGACAACACCTGCACACTGGACGACCCGTGCTTCTTCGCGTGGTGAGTACCGCGGCTCGGCCGGTGGAGGGGCACGTGAGAGGTGGCTGGGTCTGGCGAGTGCTGCCGGTGAGCAGGAGACGGAAAGGCCTTTCGTTCCTATGTTTATGCCTGGGGTGTTAACATAGGAACGAGGAAAAAGTAAAAATAGTAAACAGGCCCGCGAAAATGAGATGGATGCCATGCCCATACATCGCTGGGTTACATCCTGCGACTGGTGACCGGCCCCTACCGGAGCGGCCCTCCGGCTGGTAGCCGACCCCTACCGGAGCGCCCCTCCGGCTGGTAACCAGCCCCTACCGGAGCGGCCCACCGGCTGGTGACCGACCCCTACCGGAGCGGCCCTCCGGCCGGTAACCGGCCCCTACAGGAGCGGCCCTCCGGCTGGTAGCCGACCCCTACCGGAGCGGCCCTCCGGCTGGTAGCCGACCCCTACCGGAGCGGCCCTCTGGCTGGTAACCGGCCCCTACCGGAGCGGCCCTCCGGCTGGTGACCGACCCCTACCGGAGCGGCCCTCTGGCTGGTAACCGGCCCCTACCGGAGCGGCCCTCTGGCTGGTGACCGACCCCTACCGGAGCGGCCCTCTGGCTGGTAACCGACCCCCACCGGAGCGGCCCTCCGGCTGGTAACCGACCCCTACCGGAGCGGCTCTCTGGCGGGTGACCGACCCTGCCGGAGAGCCGCTCTTGCAGAAGGGGTGATGATGCGTGACCTCCCGAACGGTCTGGGCAGATGGGATGTCAAGTTTCCGCCCCAGCTACAGACAACTAACCCCACCAGTACTGGCTGGATGATGCGTGCCCGACGAGAGAACGCCAGGCTCCAGCAGGCAGCGATCGGTTTACGACTCTAGAACGCCCGGTGAACTGGTCTGGATCGCTCGGTAGACTGGTCTGAGCTGGACTGGACCTATCAATGTACTGATCTAGACCTATCGGTGGACTGGTCTAGACCTATCGGTGGACTGGTCTGGACCTATTGGTGGACTGGTCTAGACCTATTGGTGGACTGGTCTAGACCTATTGGTGGACTGGTCTAGACCTATCGGTGAACTGGTCTAGACCTATCGGTGGACTAGTCTAGACCTATCGGTGGACTGGTCTAGACCTATCGGTGGACTAGTCTAGACCTATCGGTGAACTGGTCTAGACCTATTGGTGGACTAGTCTAGACCTATCGGTGAACTGGTCTAGACCTATCGGTGGACTGGTCTAGACCTATCGGTGGACTGGTCAGGACCTATTAGTGGACTGGTCTAGATCTATTGGTGGACTGGTCTAGACCTATTGGTGGACTGGTCTAGACCTATTGGTGGGCTGGTCTAGACCTATCGGTGAACTGGTCTGGACCTATTGGTGGACTAGTCTAGACCTATCGGTGAACTGGTCTCGAACCAGTCCAGTTGTCAGGTGCGCCCGTCTCAGGCAGTCTGGGCGGGCCTATTGGAGGTCTGTCGTCCTTTCCCGCCAGCGACGTCGGCACTAAACGGTCGGATACTGGGACCTGCTACGGTCCCGTATAGGTAACGGGAAAGTTCTCGGGTAGGAGTCTCGGTCGTCTCGTGAGCTTCAGCAAGACCTCAAACTCATGCTTTTATCGAGGCACCTGTGAAGATAACGCGTTGCATTTTTGCTTCCACGTACCTGGTTGTCGCTGCATATTGCAAGCTTTGGTGAAAGGCATAGACTGTTTCTTTTCTATCCAGAACAGTAGCATTTTTTGGCGTTCGCCTGAACATTCACAGTTCACAGTTAAAGCCATTTGTGGAATAAGTCGTATTAAATTTGTGCATTTATGCGCTCTTACATCTGCCACAACTATGTACAGTGAGCTTTTTCCTGCAAAGAATACAGCAATCATTCAGATATAACATCAGCAGCCAGTTCATCAACACTGAGCTCTGCCGTGAAACCTTGGACAACGAGGTTGCTGGAACCGCTTGATACCTAACGACCATGTCATTAAACAGACCCGCTGCCACCGCACCAGGCGCGTGCCAACTCAGGGTTCGGTCAGCTGGATCTGGTGCGGGCCCTCCTGTGACGGCCGGTCTGACGGTCTGACGGCCGTCCGCTCCACTCACGTGACAGCTGTCACGTCCTGACGGGCTGACGACCGTCACCCCAACCACGGCGACGGCCCATCCCGTCACCCTGAGTGACGACTGTCAATATTTACTCACGTAACATCTGTCCTGGCTGGATGACCGGGCCGTCAGATTCAAATCAGGCTTTTGCCACCAATGGGGGCATTTGAGTAATAGCTGCTTGTTCCTGATAGAGAATACTTTCCTCCCTGCACCTTTCGACCAAGTATGTCAGACCCGCTGATTGGCTTTGTACATCCCTGGTTTGGTCTGCACATCCCCTGGTTTGCTTTGTACGTCTTCGTTTGGTTCTGGCATCCGTGGCTGGCTTTGTTCATCTCTGGTTGGCCCTGGCATCCGCGGCTGGCTTTGTATACACCTGGTTTACTTTGCACATCCCTGGTTGGATCTGGGGAGGAAGCGTTTTCTGACGGTCATTACCACAACGCAGGCACGTGGTGAGCGCACGCGCCCGCGGCTGGCGCTTCTTACCGCGGAGATTTGGCTTCCGATCCCTTGCGGCGGATAAGGCTGGAGTGGGAGGACAAGAAATATTTATTTATTTTTATATTTATTTAAGCGATAGCTGCGTTATTGTGTGTTTTGTTCTAAGCGCTCATTTAGGCTCTGCACCTGCCAACAAGTGCAGTACAATACAGTCGCTAGCCCTGAACTACAGGGTAACAACAGAAACACATTCTCTTTAATCACACCACGTGATTTCGTCCCACTGCTCCTGGGGGTTCCAATGCTTCTTTGCTTTCTCGCAGGTCACTCATGCTGCACCCACACACATCTTTTGATCAAGAAGCTTAAATGCCTTATATGAATGACTATTGCGCTACTCAAACCCTAATGAGTAAATATAATAATAAGAATGAGTAACAAATAACTTGCAACAAATAACAACAGGGAATGCATAATTGGAGATTGTGTTACATTCCCTGAGCCCCCCATTCCTGCCGTCTCTGAGCCTTACACCCACTGCAAGCCAATCCCGTTCAGTGAAAAAGTTTGCCTACGTCCTTTCTGCCAGACATGCCTGCAGGGTTTCAGTGCATCGTAAAGCACTTTGACCCAGTCCCCTCGTCACGCTGAATCAGTCATGCCTGCAGACTTTTCATCGCTAGTCGGGCAAGACGTCCGACCGCCCCGGAACACGCAGTCAGCACCTCTGGAACCCCACCCAGCCCAGCACCTCGGGGACCCCACCCAGCCCAGCACCTCTGGAACCCCGCCCCAGCCCAGCACCTCTGGAACCCCACCCAGCCCAGCACCTCTGGAACCCCACCCAGCCCAGCACCTCTGGAACCCCAGCCCAGCACCTCTGGAACCCCACCCAGCCCAGCACCTCTGGAACCCCACCCAGCCCAGCACCTCGGGAAATTCACCCCAGCGCGCTCCCGCCAGCCCGCCGGGCCCGCGTCGACTCGGCGCACAAAAACGAAAGCCGCGAGCCACTGCCTCTGTTTGCTGTTGAGAAAAGCATACCATTGAACACTAAAAAGTTGAGGCGGTGCATAGCCTCTTAACAGATTCAAACAATGTAGTGGGTGTAAGTTCGGTGGTTTTAATTGATGAATGAATAAGATAGGCAACCAAGTGACGAAAAAATAAGGAACGGTGATTTAAATGTTGAAACAAGCAATGCAGGCTTATTGCAGGCCATTAACGTCAGCACAGTTGCCTAATATAATGAGTCAAAAACTGCATTATCTGCCGTCGGCAGTAAAGGACCCTTCATTGGGCTACATTAGGGATGGTGATAGAGTGTATCCCGTCTCAGACGTAGACAGCGGCCAAGAAGCTTATTTCAACAGCTGTCATGAAAGGCACGATTACTCTTGGCATGTGCATCACAGCCTCAGACTTCTCAGCAGGTCTTAGCTTCGAGCCTGCGGTATTGCACTTCCAAGACCTGCACCGCAACCACCGCACTATCAAGGGTGCCGTGCTCCTCAGGAGACCCAACCACCGCACTATCAAGGGTGCCGTGCTCCTCAGGAGACCCAACCACCGCACTATCAAGGGTGCCGTGCTCCTCAGGAGACCCAACCACCGCACTATCAAGGGTGCCGTGCTCCTCAGGAGACCCAACCACCGCACTATCAAGGGTGCCGTGCTCCTCAGTAGACCCAACCACCGCACTATCAAGGGTGCCGTGCTCCTCAGGAGACCCAACCACCGCACTATCAAGGGTGTCGTGCTCCTCAGGAGACCCTCTACGAGGATGATGTCTTGCTCGACGGCAAGCGTGATGTACTTGTGGACGAACACGCGTGCCAGCTATAGCGGCGCCACGTATATGTGTTGGTCCTCGGAGACGGTCCGAGACGGTCCGTCGCATACCGCGCTGACCGCCGTATGATCCGCCATGGGACTCTGACTGGAGCTGGTCGAGACGGTCCGTCACATACCGCGCTGACCGCCGTATGATCCGCCATGAGACTCTGGCTGGAGTTGCCCGAGACGGTCCGTCACATCCGCACTGACCGCCGTATGATCCGCCATGGGACTCCGACTGGATCTGCTCGGGACGAAGCGTCGGCTCGTCTCCACAACAGGCGGCAGCTGGCCGGCGTCACGTGACCGCCGACTCCCACAGTCTGCCACCACTTCCGCGGTCATGTGACGGCTGGCAGCGGCCGCCGCGGCAGGTCGACGGCTCTGTGAGCGGGCAATAACTCATCCTCCCCTGCAGGCGCAGGCTGTACATCCTGAAGAAGCGTATAGGCAGATCGTAGCGGGCCAGGTCTGTCGTTAGCGGAACGGCCAACGACGTAAACGTGTGACGCTTTTGTTCCTATTGACGTAGCGCTCAGTTAGTCCTCCTGAATTTCGTCTGGTGTTTGTTTGGTCGGGCCCGAGAGACGAGACTAAAAAGAGCTTTTCAAAGCGTTTTCGGCTTGTACTTTCTGAGACGTTTGAACGAGTGTCATTGAATGTTGTTGCTATGCGCTTGGCTATGGCTGATATGAATAGTTGCTGAGCGTGGAACGATTTTTGTCTGTGTGGGCAAGGAATAACTCGATTGCCCCGGATCTGCCCAAAAGTTAACCAAATGTTTTGAAGGAATGACCTTAGAAGCGCGATTCACACTGAGCATAGTTCGTAGCGGGTGCTCTAAACCCCTGGTTCAGCGCAGCAGTTCTGTTCAATGGACTATTTTTATGACAAATTATCTTTAAAAAACCGCGAAGTACCACAATGATTCTTAAAACAAAATTAATCCGAAGCTTTTTAATGGACAGACCCCTGGGATTGGAGCTCACGCCAAGCAGCTCTTGTTGTGTGAGCCCTGACCCCAGCCATCCAATCACGCAATTCCATGTTAACGACAGAATTTGCTGGCAAAGGTTTAACGTGCCGTAATGGTCGGCACGGCTCGTCCTGCCCTCTGACGTCACCTGAACTTACGCGCGGGAGCTGCCACCGGCCGCACGCAACGCCTGTCAAGGACAAGTAGCGAGCGCCTAGACCGACCGGAACCCACCCCGCCACGGGTGGGTGGGTCGGAAGGCAGATGCTCTAACCAATTATCCCTCGGCATAATTCCGGGCTGGCCAGTTTTAGTCTTAACTGGATGTCCTTACATATTCTTACCCGAGCCTTGGCACCTGATGCATATTTCTTAGGGCCAGACTGGACTCTGGTTCTCGTGGTTGCCTTAAGTGTAACTATCTGCTGGATCTTGACTCCTGTTGGCTCTCCTACTTGATTCCAGCCTGGTTCCTGCTTTATCCGGTTCTAGAACCAGGATTCAAAGACTGTCTCCCGGGAAGACACTTTTGGAACCAGGCACATACGCACTCCAAAGCTTTACAAGCTCGTTCCATTGTTTCCGAATCCTAAAGCAATTGCACCAATAAGTACATAAAACCACTCATGGGACACTCCAACAGTCATATGTGGTATATCGTAGAAAACTAGAAGGACAGCAGAGAGCTCCGCTTGCAGATACCGTTCATCAGAGTGCCTACGGATGATCATGCCAGGTCTGGGGTGATGGAGTCGAGCCAGGTTAAATGAGGTCACATGCTGTTGGATGGTGTCAGATCCGAGCGGGCCAAGTGAGTCATGATCAAATCACCATCCTGCGTGCCAGAATGAAATACTCCGGGGCGGTGACCAAGTCAGCGTTGCACTTTCCATTAGGCCAGCGATTTCCGGGCTTCATGACTCATTATACCCTGAGAGGGAAACAATATTGGTGAAGACGTTAATATATTTTCGAGATCATTGCATCGTTGTCTACCTCGAATACATGGCTCACGAGCCAGCGTGGTGTCACGCAAAGGATACGCACGCGGCGCGGCTGGTTCTGGGCCTTTTAACACGTCGTCCTGCTTAGCCATATCCAAAATAACGACGACGAATAAAAAAATCAAAAATCCCCTAGTTGGCTGTGCCAGGCGCTAAAATGCGGAGCAATGCATCCTGACAGCGGTGCCATCTATGTTGCCGGTAGTTCACAACTTCCCCACTGGATGAGCTCCGGCCGTTCGTCCGCGCATGCGCAACTCAGAATCCAGCGGGGTAGTCACAGCAGTCGAACACAACATGATTTGACGCCTCCTCCAGGCGTCGTCGCACCGGCTCGCCTTCCGCAGTCTCTGTGTCGCATCTACTTGATCTCCACCAGCTCGACGTCGAAGAGTAGCGTGGCGCCGGGTGGTATGACGTTGCCTGCGCCACGATCGCCGTACGCCAGCCGCGGCGGGATGGTCAGCTGGCGCCGCGCGCCCGGACACATGTTGAGCAGACCGCGGTCCCAGCCGGCAATCACCTGACCTCTGCCGAGCGTGAACTCGAGCGGTGTGCCGCGGTCCCGGCTCGAGTCAAACTTGGTGCCATCCGTCAGCGTGCCTGCCGGCCGGCACACGTCAGGTCAGGTCACGTCAGTTTGGGTCGGGTCGGATCAGGTCAGGCTGGGCTGAGTTGGGCTAGGCAGCCTTAATGAGGCTAGAATAGCTAAGGTTAGCTCAAGCCACGTCAAGTCAGGTTAGGGCATGGGGTTCAGCTGAGGTGAGATGAGATTAGGATGGGGATCTGAGGTCAAATGAGGTCATAGAGGAGAAATTAGGATGGGTGATCTACAGCAATTTCGATTCGGCAATAATCAAAATGCCTATCCAACTTACCGAACGATGCAGAGTGCGTAGCTGCAGAACATAATTGAAATTACATATTCTTAACATAAAACGCAAACATTTTTGAATGCTCATTTCAGTGCTAATTCTGGTGTCACTTACAATCCAAAATCGGCAGCCCGGGTAACTACATTACAATTTGTGTCGTACGCAGTAAACAAGTAGGAGCTCACACAGGCTATTTTGTAAACAAAATGATGTGACATGTGGAAAGCAGGCAGCGTCTCAGAAGCTCTAGCAGCGTGGCCTGGTGCAGCTGTCGCTGGCCTGACCTGTGTAGTGCATGGAGACGACGTCGCCGGCGGTGGTCTTCCTGCGGCAGTTGCGCGGCCCAGACACGCGCCGAATCTGCAGTTTGTCGCTCGCACCCTGCTGACGAGGCGCGCCACTCATTACCTGGCCAGCGCGCGGCGCGACCCTCGGCTCACGCTTGCCCTGCCGCCCTCGGCCCTGGCCAGCAGCATGCGGCCACACACAGCCACACACATCACTACATAGCGTTTGATATGAGAAACGTTGGTCCAAGTTTCGATGATCTGTGCGACGAACTGGGTTGCTCTGAAATTGATTGCTGATGTGGGCGCGCTGTACTTAACACGTGCCCGCCCCCGGTCTGTGCGTCTGCCGCATGCATCCATGCGCGTTAGATGCCGCACATCGATATTCTCAACCGCATCCAAGACAGACCCACAATATTCACAGTTGGTAATGCCAGCCCACCTGTGCTGGTGCTGGAGCAGGGGCGGGGGCGGGGGTGGGCGTAGCGGCGGGGGCGGCGCCCTGTCCGTTGATGGTGACCAGCTCCACGTCGAAGTTGAGTGTGGCTCCAGGCGGGATGACGCCGCCGGCCCCCTTCTCTCCGTAGGCCAGCCCGGGCGGGATGGTCAGCTGGCGTTTCTCGCCGGCACACATGCCTGTCAGGCCCAGGTCCCAGCCGGTGATCACCTGCCGGTCAGACACACCGGTCACAGTCAATCGCAATACAGCCCCATCGATGGCGTTGTTCATGAACCATCTCTCTGATAAAGGAAGGGGCATGCGCCCACTCAGCCTTCTTAGGGTAATTCTCCGGCATGCCGTGCAATCGCGCTCGAATATTAAGCAGTCCATGGGGCATTCACTGCACGTGTTTTGACGCCAACACCGCGTCTCTATCATTTTTGATTTTGGAGCAGCAGCCGTTTTTCGGGAACACTGCACTGGATGGCTCATCAAAACATTAAAAAAACAACAACGAGTGGTCACACACCCTGCCGAGTGTTTGACTATCTGTCAGAGGGTACAGCCGCCTCCGACCGGTCGGAGAGCCACAGGAGGGGCATGCTCTGTGGGGCTCAACGACGACATCGACGGTCCAAGATGCTGATGTCCGAAAGCCATGCGGCTCATCTAAGTGATGGCCTACCAGCCAGATATATGGTCTTTCAAAGAACAATTGCAAACGAAAATGCATTTGCGAGTAAGGTGGCTATAGCCATCTCATTACAGGACAACATGTCCAGAAATGGGCCAGTTCCGTGGCAGATTAGCAAGTCCAGTCGCAGCACGCCAGTTTGGTGTACGCAATAATCGATGTATGCAGTGCCGGTGCATGCAATTTCAGTCATTTTCAGTTTTGGTGCATGCAATTTTGATGTATGCAGTTTCGGTGCATTCGGCGTATGCAACGATAACTCAAGTTGAATCCCACCCCTGCCGCTGCGCCCACTCCTCCAGTGGACTGGGCGTAGAGGTGTGAGGACGTGAAGGGCTACGTACCGTACTCATTCCACCTACACCCCTCTACTCATAGAAGCTAGTGACGTCGCAGCGCTCGTCTGATGTCACATCGCCCGTCTGACGTCACAGCGCCCGTCTGACGTCACAGCGCCTTCTGACATCACAGCGCCCGTCTGACGTCACAGCACCCGTCTGACGTCACTGACCTGACGAGCGCCCAGTGTGAACTCGAACACCTGATTGCGGTCCCGACTAGAGTCAAACTTGGTGCCGTCCGTCAGGGTGCCCGTGTAGTGCATTCCCAGCTTGTCGCCGTTCTTCGACTTGACTGGCAAGCTCTCCGGCGAAAAAACACGGCGAATCTGGCGACAGCGCCATATACATATACACGTCACACAGCCTCATATACATTATGCACGTCACACAGACGCTCTACACGTTACGCGCATTGTGCAGGCATTATGCACGGTATCTTGCTCCGTTATACACGTAAACGTGGCCACCATTTCGGAAGATAAGGCCGAGCTGAGGTCGGACACCATCAATCGCCTGGATGTACATAACAATGCCATGTTAAGGCTCGGACAAACGTCGTCAGATAAACAAGTCCGTGTTCCCACCCATTACAAGCTGATCTGACGCCGAATGCCAACGGGTGAAACACGACCTTCCTAGCCTCGGTTCGTGTGGATGCGCGGAGTTTTCATTCTCCTTGTGCCGTCTGGCTTTAAAAAGGGTTGTTTACGATTGACCTATGTGCTGAGCGACCAGGCAGGTTTTACTTTGGTGTTTTGCTTCTGTGATTGGCTGGAGTCTCCGTTGCTCGAGGCCTCATTGGCTAGACCGAAAAACCCTCTGCCGATCCGATCGCTTTCAGCATTGCCGTAATGACTGCGTGGCATCCAGCATGCTCGGCGTTCTCACCTTCAGCTCGGGCTTGGCCTGGGGGTGATCTCCAACAGACTCCACGTCCAACAAAGGGTGGCCCCCGGGTGGGATGACGCCTCCGGCACCGCGATCTCCGTACCTGTGACACAGTGTGACGTCACAAGAAGAGTGGCCCGGGTGGGATGACGCCTCCGGCCACCGCGATCTCCGTACCTGTGACACAGTTGTGACGTCACAGAATGGTGGCCCCGGGTGGGGTGACGCCTCCGGCACCACGATCTCCGTACCTGTGACACCGTGTGGCGTCACAGAATGGTGGCCCCGGGTGGGGTGACGCCTCCGACACTACGATCTCCGTACCTGCGACGCAGTTAGCACCACGGCTCGGCCTACTGCCGTGACGCATTTAATTTTTTCATTGAACGTGGTTTTATATTTTTTCCATTGCCTTGGTCACTAGAAACTTTACTTTACCATGTCTTTGAATCTCTACTGTTTCCGATTCTCTCCAGCAGTGTCATGCCCACAATCACACGAGACGTTGCTGGGCGAAGCGTGATTAGGAAACCGGCCGGTTTTAGTCTTGACACCTTTGGTCAGCTTACGGAAACCAGTTTTCTCCGTGGCTGCAGTAAAATGGAGTCCCGTCAGGGACAGCAGATGGAAATTCATGAGACAAATGGCAAGTGACATGAGCCTCTTGATGCCTGCTTATATATATATATATATATATATATATATATATATATATATATATAATTGCTGAGCCAAACGCTTTCTATGCATATATGCAAACGTCAGACCCAATCTGTGCTTACTTCTCAACCATTCCGCTGTCAGCTCCCAGCCATCCCATAATCGCCGGTACCCAGCGCCTGCTCCACTTCCCCGGACACTTCAGTGCACCGTTAGACTCCCCATCACTCTACTCCTCCCTCACTAACTCCCCAAACCCTTCGCAGCTTTACACCAGCCTCCAGCAGACACACCACTACGCGCCATCTTCGCTTTCTGACTGCGCTAGCCAACCCCAGCCCCTCACCATTCCACACCAGCCACCGGCCCGGTCACCAAAGCACGAAAACAAGCCGATGTTCACAAAATGTACAAAGATCCGGACCACTCTGAACCCAGTGCTAATTACAAACGTGCACATAACACCAGCCCCCGGCACCAGCGCCAGACCCAGGCACCATACAGAACCAGTGCCCAGACCCCTCAGCACCCAGAACCAAGGCCAACCTAGGGCCAACTACAGTTAACACCCATTACCTAACTCCAGCACCAATGCCAGCTCCTGTCACCACCCTGCACCAGCTCTGGTCGTGACCCAGTCCCAGTGCCAGCTCCTGTCACCACCCAGCGCCAGCTCCGGTCGCCACTTACCCGAGACTCGGCGGAATGGTGAGCTTCCTCTTCTCGCCGACGCACATGCCGACCAGGCCCTGGTCCCAGCCCTTGATCACCTTGCCCGCGCCGAGTTCAAACTCGAACGGCTTGCGGCCGCGGCTCGAGTCGAACTGGGTGCCGTCCTGCAGCGTGCCCGTGTAGTGCATAGCCAGCACATCCCCGGGCCGGGAGCGCGCCGCGCACTGCGTCGGCCCCGACACGGTCTGCACGTCCAGCTGCTGGGCGGCGGACAGGGCGCAGAGCAGCAGGAGCGCCGCGGCGCGGCCGGCGGCGGACATGGCGGCGCTGAGAGTGCCGGGGTCGGCTCAGGGGCCGGCTAACCCCGGGTAACGGTGACGCCGTGGCTGAGCGGCCCGTTACCGCCGCGCAGAGGCGGAGCCAGCGCGGCGGGACGGCGGGGCGGAGAGTGTCGCGCTAATGCGCTCCGTCTCCGAGGTCGGGTCATCTCGGCTGATCTGACGGACGCTTCCATGTCGCGCCCCCAGCCGGCTCACAGCTGACCTGCTGGCTTTTGCGCGCTGTGTCCGCCCCTGCGCCCTGCAGAGGGATTTTGATTGGTGCACGGCTGCGTTGGAACGAGAAACTCGTCTCGTCTGGTTTCTGTCCCTGGTCCTCGCGTGTCAACTACCAGGCCATCTAACAGGCACGGTGTCAATGGTCTCGCCAATGGCCTAGTGAAAATGGCTGGTGGCCACAAATTTATGTCAGCCTCACATTGGTTGAAAACATAATGATGATAGGGCTAGGAAAAGGCAAGAAGATAATTAGCGACTGTTAAGATTTTCTTTTTGTTCAATTCACGTGCACGATACATGTAATCTTAAGCCACTGATGTTTCACATTTCTCTTCTAATGCGACTATGGTGTGGTTGACGAATTGGCATTAATCTCAAAAGGATTTGCATAAGAAACGAGCGCTTGTAGCAAAAAATCATTTTATTTTCATGTGATTCTGTTGCATTACTCACCAAGGTCGTATACCCATTTTTGCACCATGCCCCAGTTTTAGAGGTACGCTGCTTTTGCTTTGACTGAAACGGTGCCGCGATGACGCATCGCGTTAATTTCCGGAGAGCACGCTGTCCTACCGATATTTTTACGGGTAAAAAGTTGCGAAAATGTGAAGAAACGAGCACCTTCACGGTAGATCAGTGGTGTTCCGTTGTCAGAAGATATGGTTGTGCATCAACAGATGCTAACAGGCAATACCTTGTTTTCTAAAAAGCATGCTCATGTACGTTTGAAATGAACATTTCATGTTAACGCGAGATGTGCTCCAACACATGTGACTAGGTATGTACAAGGCGGTACGGAGCTCGCAAGCTATTTTAAGAGTGCGCATCATGGTGCTCTGACTGCAGACATTCACGGCGTGTCTTTACAAGTAACGTGCTCATTATGTCATTCTTGGCTGAGAACGGACTTCCTCTTACATCACATCCTACTTGGTGCAGCCTATCTGCGCACAATATGTGATGTAACAAGGAAGTCATAAGAGTCGCCACCTTGCCGAGCCAGTTTTTGCAGGGGCTGCAAAAGAGCAGGTCTCCCTCTCTCGGGTCTCACACCATGGCACACAGCTCGTACGGTGTCCGTGACGGAGTTGGGGTGCTGCTGCCGGCGCCGGGGCTGCTCTAGCCGCTCATCAGGACCTGGGGTGGGAGCGTTTCACTTTCGTTAGCGTGTGCAGAGATGACCTCCTCACTGACAGCCTTTCACTGACCCAGGCCGTGGGCAGGAGGCGGCGCTCACGACGCAGTGGGCTGCTCGTAAGTCGGCCCCCCGTGCTGTTGCAACAGCGAGAACAGGCAACACCAGACACGCACCGCGCCACGCGGGTGTCAGACACGTGGCGTGCGGCACAACCGACACAACAGAAGAGGCTTTTTGGGCTGGAAAAAGAAGCTCTTTCTCCACTGCACGTCGAC